ATAATTTATATTTGCTTCGTAGGGTGGTACTTTCTGTTTCACAGTTTCCAGAAACCCTGATCTCTGCACTATTTGTTTGTCAGAAATGGAACCCTCAAATAATTGAGACACAAACATAATGCCACCATTAGGATCCACTCCTACGAGTGACTTAAAAGTTGTGTTGGACTTGTAAGTACTGTAACTCTCACTGTGCTTCTGTAATGAACTAGGGACTTGGATTTTCAGTTCAGTCGCATCAACAATCACAATAGTGTTAGGATATTTCTTGATAAATTCCTCTGGAGAATGTTTTATAATTATATCTCTATGTGGCCATATTTTTAGGCTGCCAAGTACGTTGTACACAAAATTAACCCAGGTAAGATTAATATTATTTACAGTACTCTCGGATACACAAAACCTCTCTGCTAAATCAATGTTGGACAGCCCCATCCTCAGCTTCATCAGTAACATGAGAAACTCATCCTCCACTGAAAGCTTGTGTGCAGAGGGTCGTGTCATTGTTGATTCCCTTTCAACGCAATCATTCTCTCCTTCAGTTTCACCTTCCTCGAACAGTTTTTCAATGTCTATCACGCTTGATTTTCCAGCTTCGCTATCCCAGTAAATCAAATTTTTTCGGTCAAGATTGGGCAATAGAAATCTAAGTGTATTCATGAAGTCAACATATGAATTAAAACCAGTGTAATGTGTGAAAAGCTTCTCTTCTTTGGAGAGCGTAGTGCACTTTGAGAGCAAGTGGTACACAGAAAAGCTATGTAGACATGGTATCCTGTGAGATATATCCGTTAATTCGCAGAAATCATCCTCTTGCGTTTGAGTCTTGCGTGAAGTCAAAGTTAGCCCTGACATATTTAAAGTTTCGTCACCTTCGCCCTCAGATGCTGTGTCAGTCGCTTCTTCTTCCTCTTGCCTACTGGTGTTCAGCTTTTCTACAGCAGACCTTGCCACAGTTTGTGGCCTTTCCTTACTCCAAGCGAATATAGAAGGGACTGCGTTGCGTTTTAATCTGCGTTTTTTCGCGTCAGGATTGATGAAATCCTCAGGGCTGAAGTGCTTGCTGCAAATCTTCACATGCTTATTCACATTGAAATAATTGGGATTTCTTCGCATTTTCGCGATCCATGTCTTCAATAAAGCCTTGTTATCGAGCGGAAGCCCGTGGAAAGATATATCTGGACGTTTATCAGAGCTATTCTCGCATTCTCCGGCGCAGCAAAAGTGCGGCATTTTTAGGATGAACTTTTCCACGTGCGAACCGAAATGTGTTTGTTTTGATTTCTACCCATTTCAAGTCACATGATCACCACTCCTGAGTTAGCCAATTGGGGAGATGACAAAACGCGGAGCCCTACTCCACGGAGTAGCCCTAAAAATCATATATTGGTCAGATAAAATACTTTATTTAAATGTAATCTGTGAACGTGTTCTTTAATGGACCGATTACCATCCTCATCTTATGATCTTCAAGAGGCCAAAAGTGCGGACGTACTTCAATCGGCAGCGGGTTTTACGTCTTTCAAAATAGGGAGATGACAAAACGCAGAGCCCTACTCCATGGAGTACCCTATGGAGTACCTGGATGAAGTACCCCTAAAAATCATGTATTAGTCAAATAAAATACTTTATGAACATGGTGAATCGTTTAGATGTACATATCCTGATATATTTTGAGCTTGTCAGCTCTCCGATTGTCGCGGTTCGATGTAGTACACGAATTGACCGCCATCTTGAAATTAACATTAAACTGCTGACCACTTCCAACGGAAAGCTTTAATTTTGCTAGCATCCATGAACGTTATCGTTAATAACCCGACTACCATCTATTTTCATATGATCTTCAACAGGTTAAAAGGAGGGACAACCTTCATTCTGCAACGGGTTTTACGTCTTCCAAAAATACCTGTTTATGTGTGACGTCTGCAAAAAGCGTGGCGCTCCATCATGGGTTTCTTAAATGTGCGAAACGATGAGGATACAAGCTTACATTTGTAGTTTGAGACTTAAAAAGGTAAACCCTATCTTTAAACCGAGCTTCTCCTCACCCATCTATTTGTAGCGCAATAAAATTGAGGTATGTAAACAAACCAAAAAAAAAAACAACAGTGACGGGTCAGCAAATAAATCCGACTGGAGTTGTTGATCTGGAAAATGCAGTAAGCTAAAATATTTTACCTCGTGCAGAAATCGAAACAGTGGGTTTTGGTCATCACATGGAGTTGTTTGTCTTCTCGTCAAAGGACTCATTACACAGCGGTAAAACCAAAATGGAGGAACCCAAGTAAGACTGAGAGCCCTAGTAAACTGTCCCCCAAAAAACTGGATTGTATCGAACTGTGACATTCGGAGAGCTGGTAAGCTCAATATATTTTAGGATATGTACATCTAAACGATTCACTATGTTCATAAAAGATTTTATTTGACCAATACATCACTTTTAGGGGTACTCCATTAAGGTACTCCATAGGGTACTCCATGGAGTAGGGCTCCGCGTTTTGTCATCTCCCAGCCAATTGTGTCTACTGTGTCCTCTACTCTCTTCGTAGTCACACATGACATTAACACTGGTCCTGTGGCAGACAGTTTTAATCAATATGTTTCCCTTTGGACCAATTGCTATGTGTTTTAAAACATTTCCATAGAAGAGATATAAAAATAATTATACACCAAAACTGTAAAGTTTTTGTCTCTGAGGACAAAGCCTTAATAATAAAGGAAATACCATAGTAGTAGTAGTAATAGTTAATAATAATAATAATAATAATAATAATAATAATAATAATCAACATTGCTTTACAAAAAAAGTTTTAAGTATAACACAATGACCATAAATTTCACTAACTTTGACTGGGACTTCTCACTTGAACAAGTCTGTCTTGAGTTACAGAGGTCAAGGAGAAAGGACACTTTCCATATTCCATGGAAGAATGAGATGATCGACCACCCAAGGAGCCTTTCAGAGCTGAAAGAGGCATAACATTAGTTAATTACATCCCTAAGACCAGTTTTCTGAAGGTTGATTAATGCTAACCTAATGCTAAATTTTAATTTGGATCTCTTCATTCCCTTCTTCAAAGCCTTTTCAGGATACTTTTCTTTAAGAGCATCCAATAACCAAATTCAAGACAAAAAGAACTGTACTGAATTTTCTTTCAAACCTTTCAGATCTGAAATCAGATTTCACACTAACCCCGAGTTACCTTAATCCATTTTTTTACTACCCAGCCCTTTTAGTTGATAAAAAAGAAAATACAACGAGATGCTTTCTAAAAATTTCATGGGAAACTAGTGAGCTTTACAAGGCATGCAAGTTTGGGAGTCATTTGAATAAGGTTACTAGCATCATTTCATATATCAACATTACCTTCAAGGTGATCATAGTTAACTGATTTTCCTCTGAATTGTTTGGAATGACGATCACCTAAAACAGTAGAGGCTGGCCTCTTATCTCCAGTTGCAATACCTGGTCTGCTTTCTGAACCTTAAGGTAAAAAAGAACAAATTACATTAAAATTTAGTATTTATAACCTAGCGATTCACTGACTTATGGTTATCATTTCACCTTGTCTGCTTATTTTTCCCCTTCAAAAACATGAAGAGATCATACTGAGTCCATTAGGAAAATTAGTTCTTAAGATAATTTCTTCAGAAGGGTGAATATCGAACTATAGCTCTGTCTTTAACTATCTCATCATACAAAAAGCTTCAACCTTCTCAGTACAACCACATCTAATGTGCATTGTTCACTGTCTCACAGTTTAATTGACTTCTTTACATCGCTACCACAGCCATAGGTTTTTGAGATTCCCTGACCTGTAGCATTTGACTTCTAATATAAATGTGTGTAATTACAGTTTCATTAGCAGCATATAAGAAGTGGAACCGGAAATGCTTTTCCATCCTATTTTGTATGCAAAACAGAAAGACTGACATCATTTGTCAAAAACTCAGTCAAGTGTAAAATGATGCCATTTAGAGCAAAAACTGGTGCGATTTGTGAATTTATTATACATTGTCGTCACCATCTGTCTTCTCACTGGCTAAACGCCCACAGTTAATTCTGGGAAACAGTGCAACCTACAGATTATTCACTAATCTGTACCTACAGATTAGTCAATTATCTGTAGGTTTTGCGTACAATGCATGATTTCCGGTGGACATGACAACTTCAGCGCGGTTTAAGTATGTACCCACATTTTGTGGGTCGGTTAGGTATTCATATATGCACTCTATTGTTTTTCTAATTGAGTATTCATTATTCACGGCACGAACAATTTCCGAAAATGTAGCTAGCTTGCACGATCACAAGCGCTTTGATGTTAGGTGTGATATATTTCTTTTGTTTCCAGTTTCATGCTCGAATGATGTTTTGACACACTATTGTTTCATTAAAATTAACTTTATAGTTAAAAGTGGAAAGCCAGAACTTTTATCATGCTAGAAGTGTAAGATGATGATGCCATAGCCATTGCGTTGCGTAGCAAAAAAATATCAAAGGTTATGGGTTCGCGATTGAGTCCTCCAGGTCTGGTTTGAAAACAGCAAATTTTTAAACGTCTTTCCTCTGTAAACTAATAAAAATGTTTCGCTCCTGAAGAACAATGCTAAGATCTTAACCATTTGACTTTTGCCGCAGCACATTTTAAAAGTTATACCAACCGTTCATCAAAGAAATGGCAGCAACTTGTTAACATTGAATAAAACATTAGTTCCCACTAAAAAAATTCCCTTTCTCTTTTTACATTGGAAAGCTTACTGAAGTTTCCAATGTAGCTAAAGAAACCTCATACACAAAAAGTAAACAGTTGGCGTTTGCGAATCGGAACATAGGAAAAGCCCTTCTGTTGACATTCGTGGTCACGAGCGAAAATATGCTAAGCAGCCACAGAAATCTGTTTCTCCGCTTTACCTCAACTAAAAGTTTTGTTTAAGGGCTCGTTTTAAAGCTTTTGAAACGCTTCTCAACACTAAACCAAAAGTGAAATCATTATTTTAGTGTGAAGCATTCAGTTGCAGAAAAACACAAGGTGATATTTTTGGTAAATGCGAATTAAATATAAACAAATGGATACTAATTTGATGCCACACAATTAGCCTACATTGTTAAAGCCTTTTGAAAAAGAATAATAACTTCTCTGCTCAAAAGTTGCAAGTTCTTCCATCTACAGCCTCCTTACTCTCATTGAATAGAAGGCCGAACGCGAGCCAACAGCTCTCGGAAATGCAGCTTTGAGCCCTCGCGATAAAAATGCAGCGGCTACCCCCATTTCAGAAAGACACACTTAAACCGTCGTGAAGTTGTAATGAGCAATGTCAAGTTTGCGGACAGCGAAGTAAGAATGGCTTCTCAATTTGGTTCATCGACCCAGAGAGAAAGTGAGAAATTACTTGAAGATAAAGATTCAGAAAATACTAAAGATCGACAAAAGTGGCAAAGGAATTGTTCTACGAATACCTTAAAGAGAAAAATATCTAGGAGCCACATGGCAAAAACTGAGGAATTAGCCCAAGTGTTGAAATCTTTTAATGTGGAAGCGTGAGAAAAGGATGGATCGTTTTGTTCGAAAATAAACTGTGTTTGCTGCGATAATGTATTTGATGTTATTTTCTTTAAAACAATGTTTAATAAGACAATTATTGAATTCGGTTTTTGTGATATCCCGAATAATCAAGGTCTCGATCGATTAGTGTTCTCAGCCTTAGGCTTCAGCTGATAACACTTACCTCGACCTTGATTATTCCGGATATCACAAAACCTCACCCAATAATTGTTTAAAATTGCACCAATTAGAGCCTGCAATCAGATTACAGGAACCACCAGTGATTTCAAAATGGATGTAATAAAAATGGAAACAATCACCAATTTAAGAAGCTCCTGAAATGGAAATAATTATAGAGATATCACGGTGAAGAATATAAAAATAGATGACTATGTTGGACTGATTTCCCAAAAGAACTAATGAAGAGACAAGCTTACCAAATATGAGACTGTACATCCTCTCTACAAGACTTCTAATGGGCTCTTTCCAGCTGTACATCTCAAAGTACTTTTCACGAAGAAACTTTGTTTCTGTAAGTCGCACACTCCTCTTTTTCTGTCGCACAGCCTTGATTTCCCTGGCCCAGTCTCTAGGATCTTCAGAGGCGATCACACAGTGTGATCCAAAAGGCACCTCCTTCAGAGCTTCTCCAAGACCTGAATTACCACTGACAAGTACCGGTAATCCAGCAGATAAGGCTTCAAGAGCCCTAAGTCCAAATCCTTCAGTCTTGGATGGCATTATGGCAAGATCAACCTCACACAATAAGTTAGCTAATACTTCTCTACTGTCACTGAAGCTGCGAACAATAAGCTGATTACAATCAATTCCATGTTGAAGAAGCTCATCTGCTATTTCCTCCCCTTTCTTTCTTGGTGCACCAACAAACTTGAGTTGGTAGGATTTATCTTTCAACTCAGCAATTGCTTGAGCTGCAAGGTCAAACCCTTTCAACATGAAATCTTCACAGCAGTCACCACTTCCAAGGACTAGGACACGGAATGTTCTTCTTTCTTCTGTGGCTTGCTCCACATCCAAAAATTCAGAGAATATGCCTGGAGTAAGATTAAAAACATTTTGCTCTTTTTTACTACAACGAAGGTAACGTTTGTAAGCATCTGTCAGCCTGGGTCCAATTGCTACAACTTGATCAGCCTTCTCACACAATGCTACTTCCGTTTTTTGCAGTTGTTCACCTTTTGAAATGCTTTTGTACACTCCAAGTTCTTCTGGGGCAGTGTGAACAACTTGGATCCATTTACAGTTGTGCTGTTTTCTAATGACCTGCACTTGTCTGCCAAGAGTTACTCCATGTCCTACCACACAATCCACGACATGTCCATCTGGGACAAACATCAGACGGTCAACTGGATTTATACCAGGTAGTGTTTCAGCAACAACAAGCCGAACATCATGACTTTCCGCATTGTTCCTGTCTTCTTCACTACATTGTGGAAGAAAGACACTAACTTCCACATTGGAGTGTTTAGCCAACTGTATGGCAAGCTCTCTGTTGATGGTTGACAGGTCTCCATCAGTTGATGATCTCCACTCGCTGCTCAGCAAAGTGACTTTCAGTGTCCTGTTTTTTTGGCCTTCTTGTGATGTAGAGGCTACACTGGGAATGTCAAAATCCTACGAAAGCAAAAGGAAAAGTATTCAAAATAATTTGCAAGTCTCCTCTAGGGAATTACTTGTTTATGTGCAAAAATACTGTATGTCTGTCTAAATTTGCTGCTCACTGTGTTCTTCCTAATGTCACAAAGTTAGGTACATGAATGGGATGCATCAATTCTAAGTTTCATCAACCTCCTGACTTCTACCTAAGTTTTAACTGTCCATATAATGCATATAACAAATATTTTCTTCTTTAGGACTATAATTAAACTTCTTTTCTTTTTGAAACTCAACATGCACCAGTAGGTAACTATTCTATTTGCTTGCTGTAAACATCTAACCAAAGAATAGTGTTTTCCTGTTTAAAAAGTCTAGTAGTATTTTTCATGGTGCTAAAAATTAAACTACACAGTCTCACAAAAAGATTCAGTTATCGCATTCGTCTTACCTTTGATAGCCCAGACATCACTGAAGACTTTTACTATTGAATATTGTAGCTAAAAAGGAAAAAACAATAAAATGTCAAACTACCTTCACTTCTCCACACTGAGCAATATGGGGCTCAACAGGTGAGTTGCAGAAAATTGAGAGGTTTAAAAATATATTGAAATAAGCTTTTGTGTAAGAGAAAAGTTAGAAATCTAAAACATGGAACACCTTTACAGTCAAACTAAGTGAAGCGTACCCCTCAGGATTACATTAATGATTTGATTATTTGAATATTGAACCCGCTAATCGTTTCAAGAATGCAATAATGGATTGATTATTAGAATATTGAACCTGATAGCCGTATTCGTTTTGAAAAGGCGCAGATCATTGTTCAAATCAGAAGTCCATTTCTGATTGGATTATGCGAACATGTGATGATGTATCAAAACCATTTCATCATGGCATCAGACGTGGTGGGAAAGGTGAGTTAGAGTGTTGTGTAGAACTTCTTGTTAATATTGTAAATGGAATGTTATCGAGAGCTTTTTTCACCCATTTACATCTTGACAAACTTGTAGAAATTCTTATGTGTATTCATGGTCGAAAAAACTAGTTTATGGCGAAGCCATTGCAAGACTTTTTTTATTTCGTTAATATTTGCGACCAACTGTTTTCGCAGTGTTTTTACAGTGCAGTTTGTTCATTTTCAGGATTCCTCCTCAAATAGAACAATCTTATTGGACTTCAGAAATGGACTTCTAATTTGAACAATGATCCGCGCCTTTTCAAAACGGATATGGCTATCGGGTTCAATATTCAAATAATCAATCCATTATTGCATTGGTGAAAGGGCTAGCGGGTTCAATAATCAAATAATCAATTCATTATTGCATTCTTGAAATGACTGGCGGGTTCAATATCCAAATGATCAATTCATTAATGTAATCTCCAGGGGTACGTTTCACTTAGTTTGACTGTAAAATAATTAATGTAAATAGCAGGACAGTTAGGGCAAAGAAAACTTGAACAGGAAGGTACAGTTAATATCAACCAATTCCAAGGAGTCTAACACCAAAGAGCCATGAACTGGAAGGTCAGAAACTTTAACATGAAAATTTGTTGGAGTAAACAACAACACCAAAGAGGAATTACCAGTAGCTTGCACCCCTCTGGTCATCCACAAGAGATGTCTGTTGTGCGGTAAGGATTCCATCAAGATCTTGAATCCCAGCATGACTCTCCAACCCTTAAAAGTAACAGTTTGTAGAAAAATAATTATTGTAAGGAGATGTAACAAATTAAAGATTAGTATGTATATTCTCCATACTGTTCCCTGTACATTTCGAAAGATGCTGACAATGAGAATTCCTTTGACAATCAAGACCTCCTCCAACTGGTGAATCAGATGATTTCCTATATTCTTGTGACTCTAATGTGTGATTCAAGGGTGATATTGTAAGGAAAAATAACATGTTAATGCCACACATTCTTAAGTGTTAAAGGTTTAAGTAATGGAGAAACAAAATTACATAAATTATGCCAGGAAAACATTATCTATTGAAAACATTTCAGATTTCTAATAAATTACCGTGGGGAAAGTAGAATGTTATGGTGATGTTTTGCATTTAATTCAGACTTAAGCCAAGAAGCAGCTTATACATATTACTGATACTACACCTGACACAACACTTTGAAATTGAAAATTCAGTTTATTTAATTGATCAATCTGCTTTTTACTGAGGTTTCAATAAACAGAAATCTTGGCTAGAGGGCTTTACAGAAGAGTTTGCAGACAAAGTACCATACACTGTAGGTTTGAAAAACTGGTAACTCATCACAACCAGAAAATTTCATAATATATTGCCACACAGCCATCCTACAATACAATACAATGTAAGATGCTACTTTTATCATGCAGGACCAGTTAGACAGTATGAATATTGCAACCACATCCACATTGCTGCATTTCTTTTGTTCACCGGATGACTCAATAAAACATGTGCACAAAAGTTGTTCGCTTTGCCAGTGTTGAATTCAGAGATCACAGTTCAATTAATTATGCACAACCTTACACTCTGATTTCGATCTCATTGTGAACAAAACTAGAGACTGATTGACATTGAGCATGTACAAAATAATATGTTTCCAGTTAAAGTAAAACATTAATCATACATTAGCACTCACAAATAGGTCTCACAAATATACATTAATTTTATGCACAGGTAACATTATACTGGTGCCACTGAACGTTTCTATTGCATAATTGTTGTTTCAAGTTGGTCTCTGCAACCCAAAGAGCCAATAAAACCACTGAACTATAAATGTTAGAGACACAAGGCTTTCCTCCAAGAGAAATGATATAATGTTGAGCAGGTTAAGGTTCTGCATGCATTTAAGATATCATAATTCAAGCAATATTATTTTTATTTGCACTCAACTGTTTACAAATTTTGATAACATCTGTACATAATGTATTGTTAACTCTTGTTACCTAATTTAATTGCCCTTTAAATTTTACCTACATTCGGAGAAAAAGGGGTAATTTAGAGCATTACAAACGTATACAGAAAAATCAACAGATGAGTGACACAAAGAATTAAAAACTAATTAAACGCAGAGAAAATTACCATAGAGGTTTGAAGTGAAGCCTTACATTGTGTTAGCTAATTTCCACCTTCGCTTTTAAATTGTTGAAACGAGATTGGGTTTGCCTGTGTTATTGTGTGTAATCAATTACTTTTATATATATCATTCAAAGAATGCCTAATCGACACTTCTGAGAAAAGCATGTCCACATATACATACGTTCTCAAATAATAGCGAAATTAATACATCAAATAACTTCCAAATACAGCACGAATAAGCCGGATCAAGGAACATTCCACTATAAGGAACACACTTCTGGGCTAAAAACGTACGTAATCGAATCCAAATCGAACGTTGTTTGGTTCTTGGATAAACTGAATACTTCGAATTAATAGACTTTTATTTTCCAGTTTCAGTGCTATGATATGACTCGAATGGTACTGATGAAAGTTGCCGCAGCTCACTGTGAAAAACGAAACAGGTTTGTCAAAAACGAACGCGAAAAGCCATCGCAACAGACCTAACATACCTTGCGCTCACGGGGAAGTTAAACATCACTGGACCTCAACTCTGGACAGCTCACATTTTAACCAAATTCGCCAATGTACATTTTAGCTAACGCAGTGACTACTCTTCTGGATATCCTGCAGTTTTCTTTTTCTTTGAAAGGCGCGTTTTCGAGCTATTTCTTCTGTTCTTACAAGATGATGCGTAATCAAGACATATCAAGCAGAGGGCAAGTAATTCATGGCAGTTCAGAGAGGCATTTTGTCTGCGCATGCGCGAGCGGAATTAGTTTGTCGCGTTCGGCGCCATTTGTAGAGTTTTCGACGTGTTTCTGCGAGGTTTCACTGGACGATCGACACCTTTTTGTAAGATTTTGTGAATATGGATCAAGGAGTATGACAAGTTCGCCAACATTTCTAACTCTGTGGATACTCATGGTGTTTGCTGGCTCTTCGGTTGAGGATATTTTAATGATCAAAGTGCGAACAAAACGCGAAAAAAGCCCAAAAACTTGAAGTTTGATATTTGAGTTACTGAAGATCAATATGTACACATGAGACAACAAACCTTGAAGTTTAGTCTTAAGATGTTGATGTTTTATTTTTGTGAATCACAAAGTTGTCTGTGGAGACGATCGGGAGATATTTGATCCGAGGAAAGGTAGAAATTTAGAGTTTGATATTATTTTACTTCAACTTCGAAGTAAAATTGCGTTAAGTTTGAGGTGGCCCCCAAGCATCAAATCACTTTAAATAACATCGTCTTTTCGTTCTCTTTACAGTCATATAGGACACAAGGCTTTAAAAAATGTTCCAGCTTCAGGATTAAGTTGCTCTAACTACAACCCTCGGCGAATTATTTTTCGGGAGGTTTTGGTGGATTTTTCAAGTCATGACCCAAAACCGTCTTTGGCCTTTTTGCTCTCTAAGTCTGTTGAATATGGTGGGTAGGCATGTGTCTTAACAACGGTTATGGTCTTACCTCAATCAACTACGGTTTTGGCTTATTTTTTTACTGTGTTTTGGCGGTAATTTTTATTATTGCCTTTTCGAGCTTCATGTGCTAACTAGAGGAAAAACTTCGGTAAAACTTATTTATCAATTGGCCCCCAAATCCCTTTCTATTGTCAGTTCATTGTTTATTTATCTAGCTTTCGGTCTAACTAGTCCATTAACCTCAAAAAAATGCGTGGGCTTTGTCTCATGAGTAAAACTGGTGCCCTTTTCTTCATGTTCATGTGTTATTCGAAACGAATGGCGTCAGCTGTATTCTGTCCTGTTCATTTCAGT